ACACTTTCCCATAAACGTTTGTCTGTAAATAATTTAAAACAATTAAATATTAATGTTTTTTCATTAACTGTTAAAGGACCAATTTTTCGGCGTTTACACGGCACTTCCAAATTTTCCATAACACTAGTATACACAATAAACTGCACCTTGCAACTGAAGTACCTACTTTTAGTGAACTGTTAAGAATTTTGAATACGCACTTGGACCTTCCTACAAAATGGAAAAACCCACTATCACATTTTCTGTGGAATAAGGTTAGAAGGTAATTATCTAGTCAATTACTGTCGTAGATTCCTGGAATTAAAGAATTAAATGTTTGATTGTTGAAACCCTTACTTCGTGGAATGCACTCATTTCAGATAAAATAAAACGTTTTATTTTATCTAAAGAATTAAACTTTATTTTGCAAATAGGTAGGTACTTATTAAACTTTTATTGGTTATATATAACCAATAAAATAAACATCTTACATTTCTTGCAAATTCATTAGTACCTGTTAACCTCCATCACTCCGACACTGGCAACCTTATTTAGGGATTAGTAACCCTCACAACTATTGTATTCTATTCTGCTCCAACCTTTATACCTGGTGGTCATACTCAATTTAAAATTGTTTTCCTATATACTTCTGTAAACTTGTTGACAAATATCTGTTTTTCATTGAGTCACCCGTATCAACAGTTTAGGGATTTGCATACATAATTTATTGTTTTATTACTCTCTCATACATAAAAATACACTAAAACGTATTATTTGTTCGTTTAATTAAGAACCCAAGAAAAAATTAATTTATATAATATTTCCCACAAGGCTCCACAGATGGCTATGTGGGAAATTTTCGTTTTCCTCGAATGGTGCTGTTGGAATCTCTTTGTTAAAATAAAAGCCATCTACTTTTTCTCTTAAATTTTCTTCAATGTCAAGTGGTTTTCTTCCTTTTGATTTACATTTGTATATTTCCTCTTTCTAAGAAGCCTTTAAAGGCCTGTAAAATTCGAGAAAAAGAAATATACAATGTACTATAGCTGCCACCCAACACAGCATAAATTTGGAACAGGATTCATAGTCAGCAGCAGAGTGAAGCACCTAGTAAGAGACTTCGAAGCCATAAGCAACAGAATATGCAAAATAAGAAGATATTTCTGATAATAAGATTTCTAATTGTCGAAACCAATTTGCAGTTTAGTTTTCGATATTTTATTTTTGTAATTCAATAGAATCATTTTTATAGTTTTATGATAAAATGGTGTTAAAAACATATCTGAACTGCAGTTTATGTAAAACCTATTTGTCGTACATATACGCCTCCCTTATCATATATACCGAGCAATAAACCTTCAGTCGATGAGTGGGAGGCATTGTTTCCTTGTCCAAATTTCCTTGATTAATTTTAAACTGAATAAACTCTTGGCACAGTGTCATGTCTCCTTGAAAATATATTTTATTGAAGTAACATGAATTATTAATAGCAGTAAAATTAATAAACCTTAAAAATACTTTAATTTGTATTGATTAGGTCTTTCAACTCTAGCTTATCGGTGATAAACAATGAGATTACCTTTAAGAGATCATATCTATTGATTTTGTCGTTAACGGCGATTTTTTCTAAGGGTGTTTAACCTAACGAGTATCGATCTTGCGTACCGGGAAATATTAATATTAATTTCAATTTCAATATTGGAGAAGTCGATACAAATAGGTAATAAATTTCTAAATGGTTGTACTTAAGGCCGAAAATCGCATTATATAGGAATACAATATCATAAACTATTCAGACAAGTTACAAGACTGAATACACGTGGATATTTCTTTTTTTCTAGGGAAGTACTTAACGTAGGCAATTTTTTTGCAATTTTCAGTTTTTTATTCTCTCTGAGACCTGTTTAAATAATTTACTGCAATAGTTAACTGACAAGTCCTTTTTAATATTAGGCTAGAACTAAACATTTGTTTGTAACTCAGAAGATTCGTAGGGCTAATAGAAAAATGAGCTAACTTTAAATAAATATGAGTAAACGTGTCAACATAAAATAGACCTACATGTATTGCAATTTTACGACGGGAACGATAAAAAAGTACAAAATATTTAACAATGATGAATTATTGATATCTGGCCGTTAAGGTGATTACTTGTGTTTTTATATTGATTTATAAAACTCCTATATATTACTTTATTTAAACAGAAGTATCGTTATGCAATATGAACAGAGTTTACGGATTTTCAGTATGACAAACCATGATAGCCACACTTGTAATATGTACAGTTGCGGTCACGGAATAGTTTACAGGTTCACGTATCTAGGAGCCCATTTTTTAAATTTTTACTTCGTTTAAACGCACCTTTTACGTCAAAGTGACGTTGCCAGTGGTGTACTAGCTAGAATAGGTAGATTAAAATTAAAATATCAAAATATTTTACAAAATGAAAAATATAGAAAACAGTTTTTTGAATAAAATGGATTATGATCTTAATAACGAAAATAAAGAAGTTTTTTTTTAATATGCATTTTATTTTAAATCTATTTATATTAAATAACGATAAACAATGATAAATAATAATTAATATTTGGTGGAAGCCCCATTCTTGTCAATACAATTTTGCAGTCTTCTGTTCATAGATAGCACCAATCCCCTCATGTTATAGTTAACAAGCTCTTCCCATGCCTGCTCAATTGCTTCCCATAATTCAATTCTATTCCGTGGTCTAAGGTTTCTTTCATTTAGTTTCTTTGTTAACTCTGCCCACACATTTTCGACGGGGTTAAAGTCTGCACTACGGTAAGGCCACTGAAGAACATTAACATCAATTTCTTCTAGCCATTCTCGAACAATTCTACTCGTATGCACCGGGCAATTGTCATGTTGGAAGATAAAGTCGTTGTTGGGGAATCTCTGGATCACCGATGGCAACATTGTGTGCTCAATAATATGTTTGTAATATAATCCTGTTAACTTCTCCTCTACATGATAACAAACGCCCGGGCCTTCGGCACTTATCCATCCCCATACGTTGACAGAGAATCCTCCACTATTTCTTAAATGATTCGTATACTGTTCATCATACCTATGATTTCTCGGCCTATAAACTCTTATTCGACCATTATTATACGACTGAAATACTTTTTCATCGGAAAATACAACCCTAGACCAAAAATTCAACTCGTCTCCTCTTGTGATCCTCAGTCAAAAAAGGTTTCCGTGCAGCTACACAATTTAGCAGTACACTTGCTTTAATTCTTCGACGTGCAGTGCGAATACTGCCTGGAAACGCTGCCTCTTCTCTTGCCTTTTGAGCTGTGCAAAAGGAGATTCTCTCAAATAATCTACTAACATCTCATCCTGTTGATCTGTGGAAATCTTCTGCCCTCCTGAACCGCCCAACCTACTATAGAGTGAAAATTATCCCATCTTTGTTTAATCTTCCATATGCACATATGACTCACGTTCAAATCAGCAGCAACTTGCCTTAGTGACCAACCTTCTTCGAGTTTGGCAATTGCTCTTGCTTTTTGCGCATAATTCAAATGTATTCTAACCATTTTGGAAGAGTTTAATATACTTTTATTTTATTGTTGAACACTCGCGAAAGCATTGACGTTTTGAAATTTTTTGACTTTGACATTATCAAATCCGTACGACACTGCAATTTTACAGTATTACAATATAAAAAGTAAGGTGTAAACTATTCCGTGACCGCAACTGTACCTGCCCTTAGCTTCTTGTGCGTAACATTAGCGCTATTTATGGAAAATTTACACTTCTCAACAATTGAAGTGGATATTATGAAAATGTGTATTTTATTTTTTGTTCATAAGGTCAAATACCAAAATGGAGTGATATAAATAAAGATATATTTTTATTTCGTATTTTCCTACAGATGAACCGAAAGAAAGAAATTCTTTAAGAAAAAAAAACCTAAAATTTATATTCCTGCTCAATTTCAAATATCCCGAAAAGAAAAATTAATAGTGTGTGGGTCCACCTCTGTGTCGCCTTAATGCTCTAACTCTATTTGGAAGACCTCTTATTAAATTATTGATGAACTGCTGCGGTGTACGTTCCCAAATCGCGCGTAATCTATTGGCCAACTGATCTAAGGTTTGGGGCGGTTGAAGGAGACCGTTTTATTGCCTAGACATTTCGGCCCAAACATGTTCAATGCAATTCACATCAGGTGAACATGGTGGCCACTTCCATTCTTGTAATGCTATTGAGCTTCTATACACTCGTTGACAATTCTCGCACGAGGGCGAGCATTATCATCAATCAGAACAAATTGTTCGCCTATTGCACCAAAAAATGGAACAACTATTGGTACTATGATTCTGTCTCGATATCGTGTAACAGTCATTGTCTCATTAATTAAGATGACTAAGTCCGTGCGACGTCAAAACATTTGCCTCCCCACACGGAAACGGATCCGCCTCCAAAAAGACATGGTTGGGACTCTCAGATTTTCAGTAAAGAGACAATTCCTTCAATTTTCGAAATTTCATTCGATTCGAAATTCCACTTATAGTGGAAGCACCAACAAGACCAATTTTGGACAACACTACTGAACATGCCCATTTAAAACTAGTACCACTGGGCAATCCATTCCGTCAGAACGGGTTGTTAGTTTCACGATATCATTGCCAAAGCCTGCAACTTCGAATCCGTATCATCTGAATAGGCTGTTAGTTGCACGATACCATTGACAAAGCCTGCTTGCTTTATGAAGTTTCTTAACAAACAGTGAGTGCTTTACAACTTCTCTGGATTCACCTCCTCCAAGCATTCCAACTGCTTTTAACATTCCTCCTTGCCATGATTTTTACAAGAACACCGAACAAGTTTATCGATATAAAAATTAATTTGTTGTTTAAAACCCATACTAAAATTTTAATCGATTTCTAATTGTAAAATATAGTGTTCTTCAACTTCTAAATTTTCTTTGTTGATGTGTGTACGTTTAATTACTCTATTTGCTAAAATATATTTACAATACAAATTTTTTTTAGGCGCTCAACTTAATAGGATTCATCTGTATAGAATGCAGCGGGTACTTAGCGACTCATTCAAGGGGAGCCTTCTTCAATTTCGTAGCTATGACTGGATTTTGGTTTACGGGCATCCTGTTGGCGTTCTACTTATTCCACCTTATAGAAAAATTCCACAGGGTGGCATGGCTAAAGATTGAATTCATATTTTGTGCCGTATGGACTGGTTTATATTTGATAGCGGCGTCTTTAGCTGTATCGTTTCACCAAGAAGCCTATATTGCCGCTGGGGTAAGGATTTTTACAATTTTTTTATTTTTGAAATAGAACTATGTATTATAAAAAAATCCTAATATATATTTTCTATAACTAGTAAGTAAATCATAAATTATAAGAAACTGATAACACAATAAAAATCAAGTTGCGGTTTAGTTTGCTGCAGAAGGCAATGACAAAACTCCGCTGAGTTTTTTGGTTATGTCGCTGGTCTGAACCCTCCGGAATGAGGGAAGGTGGTCCAGTCGTACTATACATAGCTGAAATGGACCGAAACAGGTAAGGATCACGGTCCGTGAACATATAGGCCGTATATACCCACAAGCTAGAGTGAAATACCTTTTTAAAACAAATGAAAATAACAAAAATTCAATAATCTCATGTTCAATAATCTCTAATTCAATGAAAATAAAAGAATCTCAATAAAAGTGTTAGAATTAGTCTTAGAACTAAGAATCTGTAAGAGAAAGATATTAGTTATCAAACCTAATACTGATTAAGCAAAAAAAAAAGTAAAAATGAAAAAAAGTGAAAATTTATAAATAAAGAGAAATAAAATATTAGAAATATTTCATAGTCCCTGAAAGAGAATAAATCTTAGAAAAAAATATCCGTTAAAAAAAGTTATTTTACATCCGAAAATATTTCAAAGTCCCTAAAGAGAAATAAAATATTAGTAAAATTATTTTCTGTCTGAAAATACTTCATAGTCTCTAAAGAAAAAGAAGTAATGTGTCCAAAGTGTGAAATTATCCAAAGTCGCTGAAAGAAATATTATAAAAATATAAAAATTACGAAGTTCCGTTCAGGAACTTAGAGAATTTGAAAAAGATAATAAAATAACAATAATTTACGAAATTATGCTAAGTTTAAATTCCCTGAAAATGCTAAGTAAATCAAATAAGAAAATTATTCTAAGAAATATTGAAAGAAATAACCAGATAATGCAAATTCTTTTAAGTTATTAAATCGGAAATAAATATTTTACCAAAATTCTTCTAAGTCGATAAATATCTGAAAAATAGAAAAAAAATATGAAATTGTACCAAGTCAAAAATACCGTTTAATTCGAAATAACATATTTCACGAGAAATATTTTAAGTCGAAAATGCTGAAATAAATACCATTTAAATATAAATTAGAATAAGTCTCACTAGAGAACTTAGAAAAATCCTGAAATCAAAAGATAGCGGTTAGGTGCAAAAGCAGAGTTTCTGGGAACTAAATCAACCAGAAGATCTCTAATGCCAAGAAGGCTGGTTCTACGGAGCCCTGTCCAGACCAGAAAGAATTTTTGGCCGTCATGCACCTATACTTATATGAAATTAACTAGGTTAAGTGCTCCATCGCGTTCTGCCATTGGAGCTTACACGACAGCCAATGCTGAATTTCGGACAATACCATTGGCTGCAAATATGTTGGAATTTCGACGGAAACCGAAATAATTAAGTATTTACTATCCTTAAAACTATGGTTTTGGTTTTAAAACTGTAGCTTCAACACGTTGATCGCCATATAAATGAGCCAAAAATTTTCATTTCCTAGAACCCAACAAACAGTTAACTGAACGGGTGAAAGTCTCGGGAATAACTTATTTCTTTCTGGACTGCATACCATCATTATAATTTCCAGGTTAAGGTAGATAAGATACATATTCTGGTGGTGTCAGCTTCTTCATTATTATTGTATTGAAGATTCACGTTTATAAACTGTATACCACCAAATGAAAGACCAATAGACACATCAAAGAAAGGAACACGCGGAAGAAGACATAAGAATGTTAAAGATATGAAACGCGAGTAAGAAACAAAGGACAGAGAGGATGGAGGATTAGTAGATAAAATCACGAAAATACACCCGATAATGCAGAACTCAAATTGGGTTGATCTCCACATAAAAATAATTTTCAAATAAAAATAAGCACATAATCACAGATAACGCAAAAGTTGTATGTATTTATTCAACTAATGCGCTCTGCCAGTTAAATAGATAAACACGAAAGCACCTGTTTTTTAAGTACTTGTATAAACACCTACAAATTAGCTACATATTATAGGAATGAATTAAATGATTAATATAACTAATCTTTAGTAGAAATATGATAAAGGATTTCACGATTATTTTGTTTTAGTAAAATACGAGGGTGATAAGAAATTACCAGGACTATTGCTTAGATTTTTTTTAATATAAATAATCAACAGTATCCACTTCAAAGTAATCTCTTTGGCAGCATATGCAGTTGTTCCAGCATCGTTTCCACTGTTAAAATGACCTTGAGAATTGTTATTGTAGACTGATATTTAGTTTCTTCATAAAATTTTCTGTAATGTTTTCAATCGAGTCAAACCCACGACATTTCAAAGATCTTTCATGTGTGATACAAGATAAATGTTAAGGATTAAGCTCTGATGGTTAAGGCCCTAAGGAATCACATCTACGCCATTTTTTGTGTAGAAGTACGCAGAATGAATTGGTGCGTTGCCATGGTGTAACATCCTGTCTATATTTTGCCAAAACTTTGACATATTCTTTCGCTTAGCATCACGAAAATTTGTGAGTGTTTAAAGGTAACTAAAAATATTAATTATTTTAATTGCATCTCAGAATCTTCGAAAAGGAAACACTTGAATTCCGAACGAGAAGGCCTACTCTAGGTGTTTATTTGTACAAATCTTAATTGCACCGAATAAAAGCAACCGCGTTTTTGTTAAATCGTTTAGTTAATTACTATTAAACTGGGAATAAGCCACAATTAAAGATAAAAATACGTTTATTGACGTTTCAATTTCCACTTCGGAAATCGTTCTCAAAATACAAACAGTAAATTAAACAAATTTGTTTTTTGTTACATAGTGAAAAATTCTTCTAATAATTTAATTTTATCTGACTCATTTATATTGACAATTCAGACATACATTATGCATTTTAAAGTAGACGACTTTAAAATGATATTGCCAATATTGTTGAGTTGCGCTCCTGGGACGACTTTACTTATAAGATAGTTCATTCGATTACATGAAATCAACTTTAATTGAGAATATCCGTCAGAAAAAAATCATAGCATGTAATTCGTCTTTAAAAAGACAAACACATGACAAGATGACAGTAAAATTCTCCTGTTAGTGATTCCATAGTAAATTATGAGGGAAAAACCAGCCAAAAAACCTCATAATACTATCCCGACATTGTAAGTATTTGTTCGTGAATTTAGTTTACCTTCAACAAACATCAAAATTCTGATTTTATATGTTACGTTATTTAAAAAACATAAATGATGTATCCTCTATATGTTACTGACTTACTAATACTGGTATTTTCTTATTAATAACTTCCTCTTTCAATATTGGTAACCAGATCCTACTACATTCTGCCGAGGAATTTGCGACACAATTGGCTCATTTAGCATAATTAGAGCCGCTTCTTTGATTTTTCTTTTTTTACCATCCGTTTCTTTTAGGACTACATTTGAATTATTCCATTGAACCCTATGTTCATTATCCCATGCATGTTTACAGATTTGAGATCTATCAAATTCTCTATTTTTAATATAAGATTGATGTTCACTTATTCTAACATTTAATGGCCTTGATGATTCACCTAAATAAAACTGATCGCATTCACAAGGTATTTTATAAATGCAATTCTTTGTCCTTTCTTGTTCATTGTTAGGTTTGGTTTTGGACAAAATAGATCTCAACGTGTTTGTTGTTTTGAATGTTGTTGAAATGTTGAATTTATTTCCTATCCTTTTAAGTTTTTCTGATAGTCCTTTTATGTACGGTATTGTTATTTTCCACATATTATTCCTTGTGTATGCTGTAGGATCTCGTTCTAAGTTGTTCTGTTCTATTCGATCGATTGTTGAAAATTCCTTATTTATAAACGATAAAGGATAATCATTTTTTAATAAAACAGATGTTAACAAATGTTTCTCCTCCAAGAACGAATTTTCGTTAGAACAAGTAATTTTGGCTCTATCGTATAAGGATTTAATTATTCCCTTTTTTACATTAATATTGTGATTTGATTTAAAATTTAAATATCTATTGGTGTGTGTTGGTTTTCTATACACCTGAGTCTCATATCCAGTATCGTTCTTAGAGATTAAAACATCCAGGAAAGGTAGCGTGTTATTATATTCCTTTTCCATGGTAAATGTTATTGTCTCTTCTTTATCGTTTATATCATTTAGGAATGTGTCCAACAACTCTGATCCATGAGGCCATATTGAGAATACATCATCTACATACCTCCACCATACTGTGGGTTTGAAATTTTGTTTAGAAATGATATTTGTTTCAAAATCTTCCATAAATATATCGGCTAAGAATGGAGATAAACTAGAGCCCAACACACACCAATAGATATTTAAATTTCAAATTAAATCACAATATTAATGTAAAAAAGGGAATAATTAAATCTTTATACGATAGAGCCAAAATTACTTGTTCTAACGAAAATTCGTTCTTGGAGGAGAAACATTTGTTAACATCTGTTTTATTAAAAAATGATTATCCTTTATCGTTTATAAATAAGGAATTTTCAACAATCGATCGAATAGAACAAAACAACTTAGAACGAGATCCTACAGCACACACAAGGAATAATATGAGAAAAATAACAATACCGTACATAAAAGGACTATCAGAAAAACTTAAAAGGATAGGAAATAAATTCAACATTTCAACAACATTCAAAACAACAAACACGTTGAGATCTATTTTGTCCAAAACCAAACCTAACAATGAACAAGAAAGGACAAAGAATTGCATTTATAAAATACCTTGTGAATGCGATCAGTTTTATTTAGGTGAATCATCAAGGCCATTAAATGTTTAGAATAAGTGAACATCAATCTTATATTAAAAATAGAGAATTTGATAGATCTCAAATCTGTAAACACGCATGGGATAATGAACATAGGGTTCAATGGAATAATTCAAATGTAGTCCTAAAAGAAACGGATGGTAAAAAAAGAAAAATCAAAGAAGCGGCTCTAATTATGCTAAATGAGG